TTTGTTTTGCCATGAGTCTCCTGTCTAAATTTAGTTCATGATCAACCCAAAGGCACTGGAAAGGTTTAAAGGAAGGTTTGATTAAGTTTTAAAGTCTATTCTTCCTGCGTTGTTTACTTGGGTTTATTCTATATTGATCTAACCAAAGAAGGTCCAGTTTGCTTTGGTTTAGTTTGATTTACTAATGCAGGATATTCATAAGATCATATTATGGCATGGTCAATGAATAGGAACTACGTGTGGCTTGATCCCTTCCTAGGATACGTAGGCAGCCTTCCTTAAGGCGCAGCTACTACTACATCAAAGACCATCATATTTGAAGACAACACAGCATGTATTGCTCAACTCAAGGATGGCTACATTAAGAGAGACCGGACAAAGCACATTTTGCCAAAACTCTTATTCACTCATGAATTACAGAAGGACGGTCAGGTCAAAGTTCAACAGATCCGGTCAAGTGAGAATTCAGCCGACCTATTCACCAAATCATTGCCGACTTCAACGTTCCGGAAGCTCATTCATCAGATCGGGATGCACGGACTTAAGGATCTACAGTGATGCTCAAATCAGGGGGAGTAATGCGTGTTGTACTCTTTTTCCGTCACCATGGTTTTGTCCCACTGGGTTTTCCTGGTAAGGTTTTAATGAGGCAACATTCCCCAGCGCATTATAGAGATCCCAGTTTAGTATCGGGCACGGTTATGTCTTCCAAGGGGGAGTGTTATAAACCATATGGATGGACTCCATAACCGGCCCACGGCCCATTAGGGTTTTACCTTATTCTCTGTATCCTGCTATTATCCTTGTATATATATCCCCTTTTCTATTAATGAAAGACACAATTCACAACAATTACTATGAATATATTATACTACAAATCATGTATTTGGTTTCTATGGCAATTACTAAAACAAATCACGATCATTATAACACTCATAACTCAAATCAACGATTTTCCACAAATCTCTAACTAATCAACATCATGTAGCTAATAACAAGTTTATTAGATAATTAATGGTACTTATCTGGATATTTGTTTTGTGAGACGGAGACGAAGTCGTCACAAACGGAAACGGCATCAGTTATGGTTTTCCGATGGAGATCTCTTTTAGCTCAAGCGATTAATGTTTTGATATAGATTTATTTCGCTCAAACGGTTAGAGTTTCGTGCTGATAACGTTTTATAAACAAAGAGGTTTTAGGAATTGTTCTCTCTGTTATTGATATATGCTACACGATACAACATATATATATATATATATATATATATATATATATATATATATATATACTAGTATTTTTGCAACACTTTGGTGACGGGTGGGTAAACATCCTTCTGGGTTAATCGGATATCCGATCCGTTTTTTAAAATCCTTCACAAAAAATTTGTTGGGTCGGGTTATATTTAACCCAACTCATACACCGGATATTCTATATTTAATAATTTAGATATTTAGAAGATTTGATTAAGATTTAGAATTATGATTCTCCTATCATCTTTGTTTGATTTGTTTTTAACTATTTTGAATCATCATATAATACATAAAGTAAAAAAAAATCAATTTTTTTTCTGCATATACTGTGATTCGAAATTTTAAAAACGCACATATATTATCTAATTGACGAAAATGTGTGTTCAACGTTCTACATCAATTAAAATATTTAGAAAATGATTCAGAATCATATCATAAATAAGATCAACATTAATAAAATAAATGAGTTTTTGGCCGGACGGGTTTTTGAATCAACAATAATAAAAAGATTAAACTATCATTAATCCGCCGCTTCAATACGGAGTAAATCATTAATTTTTTTTAATACCACCAATATTAGACATATCAAATCAGTCTCATTTAGAAAAGATTTTATAAAATCAAAAATCAAAAATCACTATTTTTAGAAAACAAATCAGAGGACGAGTTAAAAAATTATGGGACGGGTTATATTTTGGAACGGATTTATATGGCGAACGGGTTTGAATCAATATTTATAAAATTTTAAAATATCATTAACATGCCGCTTTAATATGAGTTAAATCCTCAGTTTATTATTGTTCCGTGAACTCGTGATATACCGTTATTTGATAATAATTATAAATTATAAAACATAAATATTTTATAAGGAGATATAATTTATAAAATTTTATATATACTAACTTTAAAAGATAAATCATCATGCGGTGTACCGCGGGTTAAAATCTAGTATAGAGATAAAATATTAGGGTTTAAGTTAGGGATTAAGTAATCTACAACTTTTTAACGGGCCTATAATGAACAACCACATAATAATCATATTATTCCTAACAAATATAGCGATTTATTTGAAAATTTCTTTTAATGAAAATGCTCTGATATATCATATACTTGATGTATAAATGGAATGTATTCTTTATTTGAAATATGAAATAGCCATTTAGCAAAATAAAAAGAAATATGAAATAGCCATTTTCCCGTGGAGTTTACAAACGAAAAGAGTATTTATTTAGATTCCAACACTAGACCAATTAAAAAAGCGTCCAAATTTCCAAATCAAACCCAAAATGTTTACCAATTCCAGAAAGCCCCAAAAAAAACAATTAGCTAAAGTGCGATTTAGGCGTCATCCAAGTAAGATCCTCCCGACCCAAACCATCGGCAATCATCTCTTCCGCTTCCGTAGCCGACCGGATTCTCAACAAAGGCCTCCTCGCCGGAAGAACTGGCAACGGCGCCTCCCCGCGTATAATCCTCACAGCCTCCTTCACCCTTGGCCGCTTCTCACAGTCAGGATGCGCACAAACCATCCCAACCATCAACACCCTTTCCATTTCCCCTGCATCGAACTCTTCCCTCAGCATGATGTCAGCACCATCCAAGACCTTCCCTGTCTCCCAGAGGCTCCACATCAGGTCTACAAGCACCGTCCCGTCATCCCCCACCGGCCTACGCCCCGTACACACTTCCAGAACCACAACTCCAAAGCTGTACACGTCGGTTTTTTCAGAGGGCACACCTGTATACACGTATTCAGGTGCCAAGTAACCCATAGTACCTGCTGGGAGTGTTGCAGCTCGTCCAGCTAGCAACGCACTGTGCTCGTAAATCTCAGCTAACCCGAAATCACCAAGCTTGGCGTTAAACTCGGCATCAAGCATTATGTTACAGGTCTTGACGTCACGGTGGATGATCTGTCTCTCACATTCTTCGTGTAGGTAAGTAAGTGCGGAAGCCACACCGAGAATGATGTTTACCCGCTGCTTCCAAGAGAGGACTATGAACTCTTCTGATGGATCCGATGAGGGTTTCTTGTGTAGGAATTCACTTAAACTTCCGTTTGGCAAGTACTCAAACACTAAGGCCGTCTCTGTTCCTTCGCTGCACCACCCCTGGAACTGAACCAGATTCTTGTGCCGCAAGTAACCAGTCATTGTGGTGAACTCTGTGGTGAAAGGGTTACGGTTGCACTGTGGCCAGTGATCTCGATCAAAGCGCTTCACGGCCACTGATCCGATAGAAGGAATAGAGCCTCTGTACACAGTAGCTGAAGCCCCTTGACCCACGATTGTGTTCTCATTGAATCCCGATGTTGCGGATTTGATCTCAGCCAAGGATAACCTTCCCGGCATCCTATTAATCCCCGAATTCGTATCAGCTCCTTCACTAATCCTTTTCTTGCCAGAAATCAATGAGAAAACAATAAACGCCACGAGAATAACAATTGCAGCCATACCAGGTAAAAGACTCCAAAATGGTATCTTAAATCCAACAACTGAAACCCTAAAGTCAAAACCTTTACGATGAATTCCCATCGGATTCTCGAAAACTTCCCCTGAGCAGACCAAACACTCTTCATCTTTCTCCTCCTCTTCTTGAATCGCATCAGAATGAGACTCAAAGGTCGTAAATTTCCACCTCTCAACGATATGCAAAGCTGACCCAACACCAGCATTCGAAGCAGAGAACCCAACGTGCATATACTCCTTAACTTTACCAGAGAGATCAATCTGTGTTGATAAAACAGGACTCGTAGGCTTAACACGAGAATACCCAACCCAAACCCTAATGAGTTTAAGAACATCACTATACTCAATCCACGCCATCATCTCTCTCCCACTCTTAAGATCAAACCCTTTTGAAATCGCATCAACGGAAGCAACGGAGAAGATTGAATTAACATCGATTCCAACGTGGTTATCGTTGATATCACCATGACCCGGGTCAAATCCAGTATCAAACTCGACGGCGATGAAAGAATCATCCGGATTTGGTAGACCCAAGAAGCCATTAGAGAAGACGAATGAGTCAGCATTAGATGTGATCAAGAAAGCGAAGCCGTCACCAAAAGGGCAAGAAGGAGAAGAGATGATGGAGAAGGAGAAGCGGCATGAGAAAGAAGCGGTTGTGTTAGTGGAAGGTTCAAGAAACTTAATTGGGTATACGTAGAGAGCTCGCCCGATGCCGGAGGAGGTTGGTTTTGACGGCGGTGTTGTGGCGGAGGGAAAGCAAGGTTGTTGTTGGGTTAGGGAGATTGTACGGTCGCGGAAGAAGGCGTCGCCGTAGAGAGTTAAGTTGTGTAGCGGCGGCGAGAAACGGTGAGAAAGTGTGGGAAAATCTTGGGAAAGGAAGAGAATTACGTAGAAGAAGAAGAGAGAGTGATGATGATTCATCTTGGTTCTCGTGTCATGTGGTTTGTGTTATTTTCTTGAATTTGATCTTTGGTTAAGAGAAGCAGAGAAAACTATAAATCGATTATTAACTCCAAGATGGTTTTGCAATGAAATGTACAAGAAGATAATTTTATAAGCGCTTGGTTCTATAGACAAAAATGAGAATGAATAAAGCTACAATGAGAATGAAGCAAAAAAAGTGCATTACTTTGTGAAAAATGGGAAGCTATTCAAAGTTGAATCAACCAGGAAAATGCTGCTATACATGGTTCTGCTGATTAGGAGCAATGAAATCATATAACAAGATAACCAAAAGTCAGTTCCAAACCTTTAAACTAGTAAAAGAGTCAAGTTATTATTACTTACTACAGTAATTCTCTTCAATGGAAAATTTGGGAACAGAAATGATTAAAGATCGTCTTACACAAATGTGAACAATGTAATTGTGAGAAAATCAAAACTGAGGAAACACTAAACCCAACAGAAAAAAGAAGCAAATCTTAGAAAGAACAAAGCCCTCACAATCTGCCACAGTAACCTCTTAGAATCCAAGCTTGGTTCTAGATAAAGCTTGATGCTTCTCTTGAGAAACAAGGAAAAACTCCCTCTCTCTGTTCATCTGACTATACCAAAAAGCAAACTCAAGAGTCAGCAGCAACGGTAGCTTCAGAATCTTCTTTCCTTTTCAAATATTCATTCAAGATTGTAAGCCTCGCAGTCTCAAACGCAAAATAACCGATCGCTGAGAAACAAGCGCTGTGAACAACTCGAGGCCCCATGCCACGGGTAAAACCAACCCAACCTTCCTCTTTCAATATCTGTCTCACTGTTCCAGCAACACCAGTATACATAGCAGCACCAAGTTTATTCACTGCCTCCACATGAATCTGCGTCATCAACCTAGTCTTCACCACATCTAATGGTGTAGTTATCGAAGCAGATATCGCACCAGCCAACGCACCACAACAAACACTCTGCAAAGGCTCAAGATGGCTCTGCTGCGTTTTCTCCAAAACCGCGGCTTTCAGATACTCAAACGACGAATAACTTAGTACACCAGCCGGTAAATTCCTCAACAATGTAGCCGAATAACCGGCATAAAGCCCCAAGATTCCATCTTTCTCAAGTATCTTAAGCAAAACTTGATACGACCTCCCACTAGCTCCAGCTTGCATTCTCTGTGTAATGAGCTCTTTAGGAACCATTATCGCCGACGAGATTATGTTTCCCATAGCACCAGCAGTAGGCGGGATTAAAACCATCGGAAAATCCGGGAATTTGGAGAGGAGAGACTTACCAAACTCACAAGTACCAAAATACACGGCGGAGGAAAACGTAGAGCCAACAATCACGGCGGAGACACCACTGTAGAAACCTAAAACACCTTTAGCTTGAAATGTCTTAACTATAGCATCAAATGTGTTGCGATAAACCTGAGAAGCGCCTTTGGTCTGAAGCTTGGTTTTGATTGCGTCAAGTGGGAGAAGAGCAACGTACGTAAAAGCTCCGGCGAGTCCACCGGCTCCGGCACCGATGATGGCACGTTCCCAGACGGAGAGTTGTTTCATGAGTGTTTGAATTTTTGGACTGCTTCGTGATGCTGGTTTGATCCATTTCAGGAATTCGGGTCCGGGTTTCGCGTGGATTGGATCCGAGATTGATGTTGATGCAAATAGTGGGTCGGATCTTCTGAAATTTGCTGGAAATTTTGTTGACTTTTGAGAGAATTTGGTTTTGGGTTTAGGGTTTCTGACGATAGGGCTTTGGACGGAGGTGAGATCGGAGAAATGAGCGAAGAGAGAATTGAAATCGTTGGGAAAATGGCAGTGATTAAGATTCGGTGATGGGAGGCCAAGAGTTTCGGAGAGTCTAGCTTCCATTGCTGATTTGGGTGAAGCTTGAGGAAGGAGAACCAAACAATAAAGATGATGACTGATATACTAAAGAGAAAGAAACAGCGCGTAGTGTAGTAAATAAAATACTAAACGGCATGAAGTTGAAGACGGAGAGCCAAAAAGATGATGATTCACACAGTGTACTAGCAACTAGTAAAAAAGCAAAAACGGCAATAAATTAATTAATAGGCCAAGGACGTTGCACCGAACGGTTCGGTTTGAGCCGGGTAGTCGATTTATGGGTAATTCGGTTGAGACTGAGAGGTCAAGCTACCGAATACAACCGAACTGAATTTTGGTTAGTATCGGTTTGGTTATGTGTCTAAATCCGTACAAAAAACATGATTTTGTTCTGAGATCGATTTTGAAAGAATTTTGGTATTAGCTGGTTAGAAAAATTAGAAAAAAAACCATTACCGGCCGTTCGATGAACCGATAACCAAACCTATTTCTAAATGTTGCCGATCAGTTCATTCCTATTGGCCAAAGCTGAGCGCAGTGAAGTTGGCTAACCATTTTCAAGATAAAATAGTTATCATCATCAGATTTGAGTCAATTAGTTTAAAGTTTAAACAATCATGAAATTCATGACAAACTATTTGCAAATAAGGCGAGAGATTCGCTATATACAGTGCAATGCCGGAGAATGGAGCTCTACATTCATCAAAATAAGGCTAACTGCTTCCTAAGCTTTTGCTTTCGTCGTTGTTTTTGGTTCATGTCTAGAATTGAGATTGTGATATAGGTGATGTTGCCACGCTTGATCTATCAGTACCACGAATGTTGTACTTCTCGTACACTCTTTCGCGATTCTCTGACCACCATGCTTCTGCTTGTTGCTCCCTGAATCTTCGCCGGCTGCAAATAAACACATAGGTATGGTATTAGTCTTGATCTCTAGAATGTATCAAGATACGGAGTGGGTTGATTATATAATGTTACCTAAAGCGCACACGTTTGAGATCTCTAGTTCCATCGCCTAGGGCCAATAGTGTTATATAAACACCAGGTTCATACTGTTCGATCCACTCCGCCTCCACTTGAGAAGCATTTGAAGCTGAGGCTGCTGAGCTTCTTGAGTTTCGGCGGTTGTCACCATCTTCTGAGAAACCATTACTGATTCGGACCCCCTCACTTAGAAGTTCGCCCATGCTTGCATCTGTGTTTCTTGGCGACTGGGAATTTCGCCAGAGTCCATTCATTGAACGAGCGGGCAGAGCCATAGGCGAAGCAAGTGAGGTGTCACTTATTGAATCAGATCGGGATTGACGCTGTCCATTTGCATTACCAAAGTGAAATCCGTTTTGCTCAAACCCGTTCAATAAATTAGCTGTCCGTGTGGTCTCAGCTTTGTAAGCACCCGGTGGTAGCAGCGCAGCTATATCCTTGACCTGGAAAGATCATTAGGAATTTTTAGCGAAGAAACAGTAAAAAATATTCAAAATGTTCGAGGAAGGGGGTGCTAGAAATAAACAAGAAAACTTAGAGGGAATCATATGTCAAGAATGAATATATCACACAGAGACTTATGGAATACACAGACAGTTTAAGAGAATCAAGCCAAAACCTGAGCTGTCAGAGATTTTATAACTTCTTTTGCGGCTTCTGATTTGGCAGATTCCTCTGCTGCCAGGTTCATTGCTTCTTTTACTTTTTTCACAGATTTCTGAACTTCGAATTCTTGGACCTCGCATCTGTGCCTCAGACTCTCGGCCTGAACACAATATCACATATTCATTTTAAAAACAAATCACAAGAATTTATGGAAAAAAATTCAGATGAAAAAATTGAGGAAAAGTTAAGAGTTTAGGCAAATGAGGAAGAAAAGGATAATGGTTCAAGGGCGAGTTTACCTGGGCGCGCAATTTGACTACTTCCTGATTCAGAAGTTCATTTGTCTTCTTCAAACTCTCAGCTATACTTGTTGAAAAACCGAGACCAGCCGTCAAAGGAATGGGAGTGACTGAACGAGGAGGACTAGACCTCCTTGAGAAAGGTGACACAGATCTGGAGCTTGCTCCAGATGGAGTTACTGCTGGTTTTGGTGGCCCACGCCGTAAGTCAGCCACATTAGTCAGAGCATCTCTAAGTTGAGTTAGAGGTGTTTGGGAAGTGCGGACAAGAGAGAATGTATCCGCCTTCTTTCCTTGTCTAGCTGCCCTGCTATCCAGCTGCCTGATCAAATCTATATTTGATGGTATTCCTGATTTAGCCAATCTTATCTCGGCTTTATCCAATCTGTCCTTGTTCTCACCGGAAAGTCGTGGCATAATATTCTTCCTGCTATCAGTACTAGCTTCTGACACTTTACTTAGTTTAGAGTAACATGAATCGCAGACACGATAAGGCTTGCCTGGATTAGGGGCCAAAGCAGCTTTTAGTGATTTCTTGGAACTGCATGAATGGCAGTGGACAAGTCCACAGTTGTAACAATTGTGTCTTTTTCGTGTGAATCCGAAAGCCTGTCTACAAGCTGAACATTGAGATTGCTCAGTACCAGAAACCCATTTATGAAGACATATTGCTGCTGTGAAGTTTGAACCACAGGCAATATTTTTTACATGTCTCTCTTTCAAAGTATCGACAAGACTTGGTGCCTTACGGTCCTCAATATCTCCATGACCTAATCTCCCATTGGCACCCTTCCCCCATGTAAATACTTCATTTCGAGATGTTAAAACTGCTACATGATAAGCTCCGCATGCTATTTCTTCAACACAATCCTTAATCAGTTTATCCTCTACTAAGCAAGGAAGCTTCCCATCAGCATTGGGATTCCCTAGTTGACCATAAACTGTACTACCCATCGTGTAAACTTTTCCCGATGTGGTCAAACCAACTGTTAAACTATGTCCACAGGCAACTCTGTGAAAAGTATGGTCAATTAGAGCTGATACACATGTGGGTTTAAGCCGAGACTCTTTATCTCCATGACCAAGACGGCTCTTGTCACCATCACCCCATGTGAACAGCTTTCCTGATGAAATACTTGAAGTTGACTGAGTGACAATGACTTCTACTATTGCAGCAGCATGCCATACACCACATGCAACAGCAATAGTCCGCAAACCAGATAAAGATTCAACTTCTCTTGGATAAAATACAGTTTCCTTGTCACCATGCCCTAAAACACCAAAAGTCCCATCTCCAAAAGTAAAAAGCTGTCCAGTTGATGTTATCAAAGCGGTGTGCCATGGTCCACAGGATACGGAAGCAATTTGAAGACCTTCAAGAGGACCTGATATTCTCTTAGGTATCCAGTGACTCACATCGGTACCATGGCCGAGAAGTCCTGCATTGTGTGTTCCATCACCCCATGTGTAAATCTCTCCTGTCATTGTGACAGCGCATGTATGGAACTCACCACAGGCAACAAAGTCAACACTAGTAGCAGCTAGAGACTCAATAAGCTGTGGCCCAGTAACATCTTTTCCCATTCCATGGCCAAGACGTCCTCCGGATGCTTCACCCCATGTAAAAACCTCACCTTGCCTAGAGACTAGAGCAGCATGCCTAACACCACATGCTATGTGATGGACATCCAAAACTACATTGGATTCTAACGGCTTTGGAATCAGAACATCAGACCTTGAACCAACACAAGTAGCATTCTTCTCAGCCCCGAATTTGGCAACATTATCACATAGCACTTCACCCCATATATAAACATCACCTAGAGCATCACAATCATCTGGAGCAGAACCATGACTTGAGCTGCTTTGAACACTAGAAACACTAACCCGGAACACGTCTGATCCAGGTCCTCGTACTAACATATTTGGGCTATCTGATGCCACATGTGACCGTTCAGAACTGACAGAATTCTCAGTTCTAGAAGTCCGGGGAAAAGCGGTTGAATTGTAGGGAGTCTCAGCAATGTTATAATCTCGAGAAGCACAAACTGAGCTGTTGGTAGGACTGCTTAATGTCAAGTCTCTGCTGTCCTGGAAATGAGGAAAATGAAACAAAACAAAGTTCAGGAAAATCTAAATGAGACTTATTTTGAGAAGAGAGAAATACATTTGCAACATCAATAATATTGTCGCTGTCAGCTTTAGGAATGCTTATTACTTACAGCAATAGAAAGGCCTCCATCACTCCAGCCGTCAATTTTAGAGCGGCCAGCCTGACCAGATATCAAAGCTTTTAGGCCAGCTATCCACACCTCTGCCTCAACTTTGTCCTTGCAAATCTGAAAATACAGCAACCTTTTCACTTCACATATACAGAGGCATACAATACTCGGGGAAGAGAAAGTAACTGAGTTTTATTCACTAACCAAATCAAGAGTCCGCTTCCTGTTGGAGTATATTAGGGAAAAAGATAAATAATCCTTATCCGGGCGAAGGTAACGTTGGAAAACAGCCTGATAGTATAAACGTGATCAAAGTTAAACAAAAGACTAGAAATTTTGCTGCCTTTGTATAATGATGTATCAAAAGAGAGAGTAGAATGTTAAAGAGAAGTTACAGTTCGCTGTCCTGGAACAATCTTAGATACAGTTGCTAACTTTAAACGTTTTTCTCCACCATTTGAAATCCAGATCAAAGATGTCTCATCCTGCAAATAACATGTCCAAGGTGGTAAGATAAAAAGGTTGATATGTGACCAAACACAAGGATACAAAAAAATCGAGGACATCATCTCAAATGTAATCCATTTAATCTAAAGCACACTCACATTGGAGAGTCTAAATGGACAAAACTTAGGCTTTCCTTTCCGACCATATTTCAACAGTTGAGCACCTTTCTTCAATGCAATTAGAGCCTGCAAAATATAGGGAAGGGCTTTTGTAAAGATCTTGGAATGAGATATAGTATTCATTCACCTTGACATTTAAATGCTAAATTCTAATCATTTTCGAAGACATTAACCCTAACCAATTCAGAACAGCAAAATTTCAGACAACATCTATTAAGCCTAAGATCAACAAAACAAAGATTATGTGTTTCATCAAAACAGAGACATACATATAAAAACACAGAGAAAAAAAGAAGAATTGGACCTGCTCGATGTCTCGCACGACATTACCATAACTCACAAGATCTGCCATTCCATGAGAGAGCTTTACCAAAATAGCCAAACCCTCTCCGATCGTACGGTGGAGCAGCACCGGTCATTCTAAGCAAACAAGACTACGTGAAGTCTCCGCCGTTCTAACCATCAAATTCCGTGCTAACTTCAAAACCCACAATTGTACTTAACCTTCTTTATCAAATTCTTTAACAAAAAGGTGAAATTTGAAACCCTAGCTTCGGAGTTGGGAAGTTTCCGATGAATTGGGTGTGCTCGGAAATCAAGAAAAAAGCTTTCACTGTTTTAGGTGGTAACGGCTGTCGTGTGCTTGTAAATGGCGGTTTTTTTTTGGTATTCTTGACAAATTTTCGTCGAATGATTGAAGAAGATGAAGATGGTCGGAGAGAGACCGGAGATGGCGAGAGAAAGAGCGCGAGAATGAAATCAGTGTCTCAACCGGCAAACGAAACAAGTCTTTGCCGTGGAATTCCAAGTACGGACAGAGTCAATGTTGAAAAGTAATACAATAACAAATTATCTATTAATTAATAGGGTAATATACATATTCCTTGTTTATTTTTTATTTTCCACCTCAATCTTTCTTACCTTAAAACAAGAAGAAAAATACACAAATTACCAATGTGACATTGGATTAGTGGTTGAATGCAATAGTAAACCAAAACCTCAAGTACTCGAGTTTTGAGTTTTGTTAAGAGGAATAATTTATTATTAATCTCGGTTTTTGGAGATGTACGGACTTAGACCAAAAAAATTTAGATTACAAAAGAAAAAATCAATAATGAGTCTGTTTAGTGATGGAACAAAACTATTTATAGTTTTGAATTGATGTGATATTTATAGTTAGATTGGAAGTATATAAAAAAAAACTATTTTTATATAATTATAAGAACAATTCTAAACGACGTCGTTTTGATTCAACGGAGATTTCTAACGGAAAGTTAACCCTATCATCGTCTCGTTAACGGAAATTTAACGACATATCCGAAATGGCCAGGTCAACGAAAACTTAACCATTTTATCAAAAGTCAAACTAAACTTTATGATTTAAATGACATTTCGAGAGTTCATGCTTTTTTTGTCCCAAATTTGAAAGTTCGCGCATTTTCCGACATTTTTCCCAAACCAAAACCGCAAGTACTCGAGTTTTGAGTTTTGTTAAGAGGCTAATTTATTATTAATCTCGGTTTTTGGAGATGTACGGACTTAGACCAAAAAAATTTAGATTACAAAAGAAAAGATCAGTAATGAGTCGGTTTAGTGACGGGATTTTAAAAACATTTTGTGTTTTTTTTTATAAAATTTTGAAAATAACATAAAAGAAAAATAAATACAAATTTTAAAAAAAAAAAGAAGTACAAATTCTTGACACTATAGACCGTACCAAATAATATTTTTGGACGATTGGTAGTTTTTTCTTTGTTATAAAAGACTAGGATGATTGGTAATGGTAACCAACTATTTTTTTAATCGAATCATCTTTTCAACCATTGTTTCTAACCATCTCTTTCAACCATTTCTACTTCATCTAACCAACTTATTAATTAGAAATTTCCAAAACATTTCAACTTCAACCGTAGGGGTAGAAAGCTACTTGTAACACCGGAGGAGAATAGAGGAAGTCACGAAGTGGTGACTTTAGAAGAAATGATTAAAGAACTATAAAAATGGAACACACGATGAGCTTGGTACTAAGTCTCATCATTGTTAATCTTAAATTTTGTTTCTTTTTCATTCGTGCTAAGGTCTCCTCTATTTCTCATTTTATATAAGAACGTGTGTTAATTTCACAATATACACACGCCAACGAACATGATTAGTTGTTTGGTTGGGTTTACAAATTCCAAAAGCTTTTAAGGCAGATAAAACATTAATCATCAAAAACCACCAAAAAATTGTGAATCGGATAACCAAAATGAATCATCTAACCGATTTTAATAGCTTTCGTAAAGTTTTAAACATATTTTACATTTTTTTTAGTTCTTATAATCTATTTAATTAAATATGTTTAATGGTAATTATATATAAACAATGAAATCATATATTTTAAGTTAAACTTTGCAGAAAAAAATAATATTAAAATATTATTAGGTATTTTGATTTCTTGTTTTTCGTTAAAGAATACTTGTTATGTATATATAATTATATATCTTTCAAAAACATAATTGTCTTGTCTTAGCGTTTTCTTTTTTTCTTCCGTTAAAATTTGTGTGTTTATTGAGTCACTCTAATATAGCTGTTGACAAAAAAAAAAAAAAATTGTGTTTTATTAAAATACATATATATATTTTTTTTTTGAATACCAGGAGGTTCTGAGCAAAAGCCTGTAATCCCCCCAGGCCCAAAACCACATCATGTAATATTAGCCAGCGACTTCTAAACTTCGCTTATGATCTTTCCCATTTGAGCTAACGATAGTATTTAAAATACATATCATGCATACTTTACAACGAGTTTCAGCAATTGCCTATATTCTCAAGCTTTGTTGAAGATACTCTTTGAGCACAACCACATTTAGTGCCCAATCTCAAATACATATTAAATTGTTTGAACTTTTTCTTCTAATATAACTTTTTATTTATTAATCTAAATTTTTATATTAAACAATTAATGTTTATAAACTACAACTAATGTTTAGATTTTAGTACATACAATTAATCACTATAATTGTGTTTAATTGCGTGTGTTGTAGAGAAGATTTATGAGATATTTTTGGATAAAAAGAATAGCACTTAATATATTTAATTTTATTGCAAGAAAAAAAATATAACAACTCATACTTGAAAAAAAATTAAATATATTTTCCAAATAAAATTAGTAGGATATATATATATATTTATTTATGTATTCTTGCGGTTATATTTATTCTTCTAGTATGATTCTTGATACGCATGTGTTTATCTTTTCAAAAGGAGAATGGAAAAGTGAAAACAATTCGGTGGCTTTCTTTCAAAAGGAATTAATTCCTTTCAATTTTCTTTCTTATCTCCAAAATAATGGTATATGTTCTTACGATTTATTATTCTATTTTTTCCCAACTATTCATTAAAAACAGTTTTTTCTTAAATTTCTTCATTTACTAACCTAATATCATCCTAGTTAGCTAAAAATCACAACCTTATATAATTAGATTAGGACTCGTATTATACACAGATTAACAGATAAATTATAATTTTATAGAAATTTTAATAATTTGTTTTTGCAATTGTACAAATGTCATGTTGAATTTCAGTTGAACTAACTATAAAGTTTATCATATATTTCGTTTCGAAACCCAAATTTATTTTTTTCAGATTATATAATGTTTAAAATAATAGAAATTAAGAAAATATATATGTATATATAAAAATATATTTTAAGTTATATATATATGTCAACGTTTCCTAATGCAGAATTTAGTTATTTGTATTTTTTAAAAAACTTAACCAACGATAAGCCGAACTACACTTGAGTTTAATGTTGTAACTCTCATCTCAATTTCTCTATTCCATCTAAATATTCATAACCACCTATAAGTTATTAAATTTCTTTACTAAACTACTATTACTATGTAAGCTAAACTTTGGATATCATTAACTTTTCTTAAACGTCTTACTCAAACATCACGACTACACTCAATCCCCATTCATCTTTGATACTAATTTTATAATTATTATAATTACATATTGTAAAATACGTAGATTTTTGTTTTTAAAAAAATGGATAAACATATTTAAGTTGCAAAACTGACAAATATTAAAACACGTATTAAAATCTAATCAGTTAATTGAAACGTGTCGTGATTTCGTGAATTATAGTTTTACAATATGTCAAGTTTGGTTAAGAATTTTCAAAATTTATATAATAAGATTAGTACATTTTTATTTCGCTTTTCCGGTATGATAAAGAATTTATTGTTGGGGTCGGATCCCACACATCTTCGGTAGGATCCACTTGGATCTGTCAACGTCATTATTACATAATAATCCTCTTGGATTTCTAGATGTTTCATTGCCGGGATCGAGCTCGACCTGTCGGAAGTTCGATTCAGTTTATTAAAGAGCTCAATCTTTACCAGTACGGAGTTCGCTCTTATTCAACATACAGTTCGCATAAAGGAAAGCCGAAGCGAGGAGAATATTGTTCGAGGTTCGCGGCATCGTCAAGACACAGGAGTTCGGAGTCAACAAGAAAGAGTTCGGAAGATCCACGCGAAGCCCAAGATAGTTCAAATTCAAGCCGTTTCGGTCAAATTGTAACCTACATGATTAATACGGATCAATGCGATTATGAGCAGTAAATGACCGCATTGATCATGTTTTCTCTATAAAAATAACCTCAAACGCATGTGTTTGGGGAGAGAACAACTTTTTACCTCTTACGATCAAGCAATACAACATACTCTTTCTCTTATATTTACTATTTTAATCTTGCCAAGCTCTTTCGCTTTATTTAGTTTATTGGTTACTTTCCTTTTCAAATCCTTATTTTCATTTGTTGATTTTAGAGTTTTTCTCCACAAAAATACTTAAAGACAATCGAGTGTGAATCCTACATCCACATTTTGGCGCCGCCTGTGGGGGATTACCGCAAAACTCTTTAATCTCAAAATCTCTCTTTTTCAAACCAAGAAACTATGGCTGATCAGCAAGCTTTGAGCAATGCAATTGCCTCGCTTACTCAGTCAACCACCGATCTGACCAATCAGATGGGTACACTCGCTAGTGCCAACGCCACTTTTGGTGAAAGGTTAAACTCAATCGAGCAAACTTTAACGAGTGTTCAAAATACTCAAACAAATTTGTCAAACGCGCAGAACGTTGTTTCCAACCGTTTAGATAATTTGTCCTCAGCACAAACGACAGCGTATCAGCGCACACTATTCTAAACTCCCACACAAAACAGATCCGGGAGCACTCAAACTCCTCCTACAGGCCCTCTTGCTAGTACTAGCAATTAGACAACCGTAGGAGATGGGTCTAATCCAACCGGGGATGAAAATCCCCAAAATCAGGGCAATCCTGCTATTGACGAAGGACTCCTTATGGAAGAACCTGATGTCATCCTTTCCGATGATTTCGTCAAAGTTCGTCAAGAGCTTGATGAGATGAAGTCAAAGTTTCATCAGGCGACCAGTTCGGCACTTGAGATCGATCGAGTAATCGAAGAAACTCGACGAACACCCTTAACTTCGAGAATCTCGAACCTTCGGATCAAAGATTCTCGAAAGGTCAAATTACCAACTTACGATGGTAAAGGTGATCCTAAAAATCACCTCGCTGCTTTTTAGATCGTTGCTGGCAAAATTGATCTAGAACCAGACGAGGAAGATGCCAGATATTGCAAACTATTCTCTGACAATCTATCCGGATCGGCTTTATTATGGTTCACTCAGTTGGAGCCTGAATCTATTGATAGTTTTAAGGAATTGTCCTCCGCATTCCTAAAACAGTATTCCATGTTCATGGAAAAGGCAACCTTTGATGCAGATCTATGGAATTTAACCCAAGGTCAGAACGAACCACTTTGCAAATATATCGCTAAATTCAAAGAAGT